GTTAAAATGATGTGTGAAAAATATGAAAATTAACGGTATAAGTTTTATATTTTTCTATAAATATTTAATAAATGAAACTGTGGAAATCGGACACATAATACTAAATAAACGGAGCAGGAAAACATTTGTTTTCTCCTCCTTTCTCACGCCACATAGTAATCTCCACCCTCCCCCATTCATTTCACCTCATTAATTAAGAGGAGTAATGATTTTTTTTAATAAAAAAAAATAATAATATTTTTTTTAAACCATTCATTTACCCTCCTTCTCCCTATAAATATGGTCTCCTAGAATGAGAAGGAAGCAAGATCATTTGAAGGAAAAAAATATATATAGCTAAGTAGGTTGAGAGGGTGTGTGAGTAAGAGTGGGTTGTGGCATTGCTGAGGGGTGGAGAGAGACGTGGGGGACGTATCACGAAATCATCGCATCAACGTTGTCAAGCTATCATTTTGACTAAACAGACACTGAAGGTGTGCCGTTGACCCTAACCTTTAGATATATATTTCATGTTAATATATTTTTGTGCATTTCCTTTTACTTTTTCATACATGAATTTATTCCTCTAGATAATAAATTAAAAGAGAAGGATAATAATTATAATAATAAAAAAATATATATACATGTTGCACATAAATTTCACTTGGCTTCAAAAAAAAAAGAAACAAAAAGAAAAGTGTAATTGCACACTTCCAGTAATGGATAAAGAATGAACTTTTTATTCTTTATTATTATTATTATTATTATTATTGTTGTTGTTGTTGTTGTTATTACTATCATTAGTACTTTTTTTTAAAATAAAAAAAAAAGAATTATCATAACCGAAGGTTAAGGGAGGAAAATGATAGCAAAAAAAAAGGTTGGTTATTATGATGATTAATATATATACGGCAGTAGTTTAAAAAAATATAAAAGTTTGGTTTATAAACAAAAAGGCCGTGGGTTAAAAAAAAACTAGAGTATAAAAAGGAAAAAGGGAAAAAAAACATTTTGGGTTTTATAAACAAGAAGGCCGAAGGTTTAAAAAAAAACTAGAGTAAAAAAAATAGTTTTGCTTTTAAATAGTAAGGGGCGAAGGTTTTATAATGATAATTCATAATCAATGATTATGATTGATCAAACTACAGTTTGGTCGAAAGGTTTAAAAAAAACAGTTTGGTTAGTTTTATAAACAAAAATGAGACTTTGTTCATGTCATAATAAACTTTTGTGGATTCCATTTAATTGTTGTTGTTCCATGTCTTAAGTGATAATAATTAAAAAAAACGGTATGTTTGTTTCCTTAAAAATATTGGTATATGATTGATTAATGAATATAGTTGTAAATTTCTTTTTAACCCTTTGAATGTCTAATTAATCAAGTTGCATGATGTTTTGAAAAATGAAAAAAAGGGGACAATATCGTATGATGTTTTTTTAAGAGATTAAAAAAAACACGATATATGTAAATGACTTTACTAGCTAGATTAATCAAACAAATTAGTGGACTAAGTAAAAGTTCAAGATTTATATATCGACGTACTTTGACCAAGTACTGTCACGTTTTTATCAAGTGGGTCAAACCACTTTCAAGGCCGGACCGTGTCCATGTGGATGAGCCTATAAACAATCATACCACAACGTGCGCACGAGAACCCGACGATGACCCCGTGGGTCTAGGGTTCACTTCTGATTACTGGACCCGAGGTCACGGGGAGGTATCCGAAGTAAAACTACGTATCGACTAGTGCGGTGTTCCAGCCTAGTCATGGCTTAGTTCCTAATCTGTGGTTAACCTAGTAGGTCAAGTGTTTTCTAAATGTCCCCAAATAACTTCTCAAAGTGATATTATCTATTTAATGATTTTTAATTATGCAAAAAGCTCATAAAACAGGAATAACCTAAAATGCTCAAAAATATGTTTACATGTTATATATGTCTATTGGTTATTTGCCACTCAGCTTTGCTGAGCGTGTAGTTTTTTTAACTGCACGCAGGTATTAGCAAGGTGAACGACTGCTGAGGAGGAAAGCTTGGACGTGGAGGCCGTACCAAAGAAGTTCTTATTTAATATTTAATAATGAATAAAACATCGAACTAAATTTTACTTTGTTTTTTTGGGCTTGAACCCAAGGTAAGGTTGTATTAACTGTGGATGTTTTTACCTTAAATTTACGCGGGAAACGTTTTTTTAAAAAAAAAATAAGTTGAACAAGACGGAGCCTAAATCAAGACCAAAGAAAACGACCTAAATCACCCAAATAATCCAATAATCCAAAAGAAAAGCCCTTTACAAATCGAAAAAAGGAAGCCGTCATTTTTTCTACTCTGGCCGGAGACGAAGCTGCTCCTTCGTAAGACCGTGCCTGCTCCGTCTGTGTATATTCAAAGCGGCGGTGTGCTTAGAGATGGCGATGCGACTTTGGGCATCGACGGCTGCTTCTTACCTCAGGATCTCAGTCTCCCCTAGAGGCTTTGCCACCGGTAAAAGCTCTCTTTCTGTATTCGCGTGAATGTGTTTTGTACAGTTTTGGTAAATTTGGTCAGACTTTCTCGGAGTTAGGTGAGTCTCATAGGTGCGGTTGGATGATCGAGAATTGCTCGATCTGTTATTTTCTCGACCGATGATGTGACTTTTTGGACTAAGATTGTGCTTATTTGTTTCGAAAATAGTGTTCCTTCTTCATCCTAAAGCTTGATCCTCCACATTTTCTGTAGATAATATGCTCATCCAAAACATAACCTCAGTGCCTTTTATGATTATTCCACATTGTTCTGTTATGTAAATTTATTCATGTGTGCATTATATTAATTTTTTCTACTTTTAAATGTTGAGTTCATTATTGATCTACTGAGGTTTTTCTGCATGTGAGAAAATGAATAACAGCTTCGGCTGATTGTTGTTTCCTTAGCTTAATGGAAAGAAAAGGATGCATAAAATATTGTGTAAGAACCTTGATCTATCATAAGCGTGATATTTAAGGTGCAGATGCACGAAAGTGAAAATAACCTACGATGATAACGGTTTTGTAGTTTCTTTTTGTGATTAGTATATAAGAGGGTTTGTCTATAAACTCTTGAGCCAGAGAATTTCTGAAATGTGAACATGGTAAAAAAACAGACTCACTCAGTATGGAAAAATCTCAAAAAAATAGTTTGATTTACTTAAAGTCTTAAAGATTAATATTTTCTATAAAATTGTAATTGAGAAAGACAGACTAAATCTTGCTGCAACTGTGCAAACTTGGTCAGATATTCTCTTTCAATAGAGAGGAATATTTTTGTATGCTTGGTGTGGAGGTCAATTACATATTACATGATATTTTTGAAATGTCAAAACATTAATGGGAGATGGTAGCTAATCGACTAATGGAAATGATCATGATTGTGAAATGGATAGTATAGATGCTCTATTTAGTGATGCACCAATGTCATCATTTATCTCATATAGTCTAGTTTTCCTCTTCGCACCCTTTTATTTTTTTCTTTTCTTCTTTGATAGTCCGCTTATGGCCTCCTCAATAGGTGCATCCTTCTCCGGCCTACAATTCTCGTCCTCACCCCCTTGAGTCATTATCATCACTAAATAGAGCATCTATACTATCCACTTCACTATCATAATCGTCTCCATTAGCTACCTCAAGCTCCGCTTCACGTAAAATTTAAGAAGAATTTTTTCCCGTTCCTAATTGGGGCCAGTTTTTGTCTAATGAATTGTGGGTAATAAAGTTGAAATTGAGATAGGTTAGATACCTGAGAAGTACCAAGGGTTGGGTTTAGTTTTGGGGTATACATTATAGTCATGAGAATGTTTTATGTTATCATGTATATATGTTGAAATCCATTCCTCTTTCTTTAGTAGAGGGAGCATGTCAATGGTTTCTTTATCATCATACACCTTTACAACCCTTTAACCAAACTCTTCCCAGCCTCCTAGGTTTTGAGATTATAAACCTCCTCCTAACCACAATCCTAAGCCAACCCATTTAACAAGAAATAGGACACATGATCAAAAGACTCAAACATACTAGATGTCCTAACAACATAACAAGACTTTGGGTATCCACACAAATGCTCCTCCATAGTAGTATTCCAAGTTTGTATGCTCAGGTTCCATATTGGCACTGCACAAAGCGTATTAAGTTTATCAAGAATTTCGTAAATCCTAGGTTCAAAGTTCAATAAAAGATAAATCGAACTAAAAAATTAACAATAATTACATAGTCACCATTCACCATTAAGGGGACAGTCTAGAGAAAGGAAAAAAATAAAATGGAGATAGTCATCCATTACCATCGAGTGCTCTTCAAAGTACTCCTTTTTCCTAAAGTGTTATGAATCTTATGATGCTTGAACAATAATGGTGGGCGATGCACCTGGTCCATTCGACATGTGCGATGCTTCATTTTCTATAAGTTTTAATGTCTACGTATTTTTTTAAGAAAAAAATGAAATGGGATATATAGTATTCTTATGTATATTGGTACTCCGGCGTACTCCGGCAAAAAGCGTAGTGGTTTTGGCCAACGGAGATGATAAATTGTAACTTGTAATATTTTGTCAAATTTCTTAGTTCATAGTGCTTTTGTTCAATCACCCATACTTTGTAGTGTTCGACTCCAATTTCCCTTTTGATAAACTTTTTTTCTAGTTTGATTGCAGACTTATATGTATTATACATATCAGAAAGAAAAATGTAACGAGCAAAAGATTAGCATTGTTGTATCATGTATGGCCACTCTAAGAAAAAATGTGTGAACACTTTGAATCCCCAAAAGACGAGGATGAAGTATCCTTGTGAAATGTGGCAATATCTTCTAACTTGTAATAAATAATGATGCTTTTCTTTTCACTACTTGTTGCAGTTGTCAAGGATTTGAAGTATGCAGATACACATGAATGGGTAAAAGTTGATGGAAATTCTGGTACTATAGGGATTACCGATCATGCTCAGGATCATCTAGGTGATGTCGTGTATGTTGAGCTGCCTGAAGTTGGTACTGGTGTAAAACAGGGTGAGAGTTTTGGTGCAGTTGAGAGTGTTAAGGCCACCAGTGATATCAATTCTCCCGTTTCAGGAAAAGTCATTGAAGTTAATGAGAAGCTAAGTGACTCCCCTGGTCTGGTATGTTTTCTGACTTTATTACTTGTTACCTTTAATTACTTAAGCAAACACAGTTTCTACATTGTACAAACACAGTTTCTTCATAGTATACTTTTTAGCTTTAATTTGCAAGCTTTTCCTTGCCAATGTTATTTGGAATTTCACCAGCGAACAATTTATAATCATCCTAGATGTGCTCATTAGCTATTCTAGAAAACTTTTGATGGGCCGAACTGCAGAGAATATTTTGGTGATGCTGAGGACACACATATAAGGAATGTTATTTCATTGTCTCCTCGACTCTCCGTATTTCACTTTATTTGTGCAACTTCTCATTTTCGCCTCCATTAAAATAGTTTTCACTTTCTTGAGTTGGGCATCTCAAGTTTTTCCTATAGCCAACCCACCCTTTTTTCTTCTTAACCTTTTTGAAATGATTCAATAGATTCCAGCCCTCCCTACCCGAGAGGCAATTTCGGTCCACCCAAACTTCTCTCTAAGTCATTTCCACATAATTCTGATGACCGACGTGCCAGAACCAACACATTTTGCTGCTTGTGGTACTAAGTTTGACGGTGTCGCCCTAAACCGAATTTCAGGTTAATGGGAGCCCATATGAAGATGGGTGGATCATAAAAGTGGAGATAGACGATCCCAAGGAGATGTCTTGCTTGATGGATCCAGACCAGTATTCCAAATTTTGTGAAGAAGAAGATGGAAACCATTGATGATGCTTAGCTTCGTCGTCAAAGGTGATGCCCAAAACTTTCCTGAAACGTCCAAATTTCTTCTCAGTGTTCTCTAATTGCTCAATGTTTTTTTTTATATTTTGTTTTGTTGATTGGTTTGGGTTCTGAATTGTCATAAATCGTCCACGATAAGTTGCAAAATGTGAGCTACTTCGATGTTTATTAATTGATGGCTAATAAGTAATAATCTTTCTAGAAGAGAATCTAGAATCTTGGGTTTTCTATGTTCATGAATTTAAGCAGCAAGTCTCGGGGATCAAATCACCCGAAGATAATATTACTTCTGTCCCAATGTGTATTCGTCCAATTTTTTCAAGTCAAACTGGACAAATTTCGAACCTCAATCACATAAAAAGTGTAATGTACATCAGTATAAAAATGATTTCATTATATTTATCTTGTAGAGATCTTTCAAAAATATATTTCCTTGTATTAATATGCAATATAAATTTAGGGTAATTCTTGATTAAAGTTCGTTCACTTTGATTTGAAAAAGTCAAACAAAACAAATAAACTAAACGGAGCATATAATCCATTCATTTTTTTCTTGCACATTACATTTCATTTATAAAATCCGAGGTTCATCCATTGCAGAATACATTCAATTATCTTCTTGCACACTAATCTCATTCTATTGCAACATAGTACATTTGATCTCATTTACACACACGCATGTACGTTTATCAAACAAAAACTGAACATTTGCTTTAATTTCCTGAGCTAGTTAAGTAATTATGTTTGTAAAAATGGGTGTTTGTAAAGTAATGTTTACTAATACTAGCCTAATTTTCTACTTACTGTTTTTAGGAGCTAATGCTCAATTTGGTCTTTCCCTCTAAATGCATTCATGACTTAATTTAGTCACTGTATGTTGTGGTGAATGTAATTAGTTCCTGATTCAATCTGAGGTGTTAGTGAAACATTGAGTTGACATATGAAAAATTTACTTAGAGTAAATAGGACTGATCCTATTTAGAAAAAAATGATATGTTAAAGTCCCATTTGCTTAATATCTTTAAGATGAAATTATAAATGTTGACATTGCCATAAGATTATATGGGAAAACGGAGTACTCTTCCGTCTCCATTCATTCACCAATCATTTCAAATTTTTATACAGGAAACATTGTCACCCCAAGCTCATTATCCTTTTAACAAGTTTGGGAACAATTAATTAATCCTAAATAAACCACATCATTCCTCGTTTAGATTAATTAATTACGCTCGACTTGCTCTGATCAACCATGACAAAGACCTCGGCCGTGACTGGCATGTCCGACTCGATCACAACCCGATTGTCCGACGTGTTTCTCAACACGTGCTTAGGGAACGAGTTTTCGCTCGACTTGAACGTGTACTGCACGAACGTCGCGAGGTTAGGGAAGAGAAGGACCCGGTCAAGATCAACGGTCCACGTCGTTCCGTTCCCGCGGGCCCAGCCCATCCCCACGGTGGATTTGAGATTCATCCCCCGCACGTTGTTTCTCTCGACCACGACTCGCTCTACGTCTTTGAACGGCGCGAGTTTCTGGTCGAGCTGGACGATGTCAATGCCTTTGCCAGAGCCGGCGAACATGTTGTCGACGATGTTGATTCCGGCGATCGTCCCGCGCACGGACTTCAGCTCCACGAAAGCATCGCCGAGGAAGAACGAGTTGGAGACGTGGAGTTGGACGGGGTCCTCGGCGACAATCCCAGTGTAGTCCATGTAGCAATTCACTATCCTCGTTTGCGTGTTTCCGGGGACTTTCACGTAAATTCCGGTCCCGCCGAACCCGGTGGCCTTGTTGTAACAATGCACGCCGGAGAGCAAGTTCGCTTGGCCGGAGACCGCGACTCCGACTTGGGCAGAGAAGATCACGACGTCCGTCACGGCGTTGTCGTTCCCGGATAGGTCGATCGCCGTTCCGGTGAAGTTCCGCTCGTCGGGGTCGCCACCGGCGGTGATGTGCTGGCCGAGGAAAGAGTTTCTGATGTATGTCTCGTGGCCGCCTCTGACCAAAATGCCATTTGTTGTGAAATGTGTTATGTAACAATTGTCGATGCCAATTCTTAGAGAGTGGACCACTTGAATTCCTCCTCCCCGGAAGTTAGAGTCCAGCAATAGGTCTTTGAAGGTTATGAACTCGTAATTGTACGCCTGGCCGCCACCGGAAGTCGTCGGCGACAAGTCAAGGAGATAGCCTTCCGCTGGGAAATTCTCCGACGCCTTCAATGTTCCTCCATGGATCTGTTCCATCAAAAGGTGTCAATTTTTTTAAAAACAAAATGCATCATTTTAATTTAATACTTTCTCCTTCCATGAGTATTACGTAGTACTATTTGTACACTTTTGATTTTTTTTAATCAAAATTAGTAAACTTTGACCTCAAACTAAATAAAAATGATACTCCGTATTTGATATTGATACAAAAATAATTTTATTAGATTTATTATATGAAATATTTTTAAAATATTATTTTATCTAAATAATATACAATATATATTTTATTTAATTATATATCAAATGTTGAAAATAATTAACTGAAAAAAGTCAAAACCAAACAAATACTTAAAAACGTAGGTAGGCAGGTAGTACATTTAAAAAAATACTTGTGCGAATTAACTGCATTTTTTGAAAGTCAACTTAATTCTACTAAGTGCGGTTTTGAGTTTTTGAAAGTCAACTTAATTGTACTAAGTGCTGTTTTGATATTTTAAAATGGAGAAATTTATGTATATAATACTAAAACATAGTGAGTTTTTTTAAATTTATTATCATAAGGGTTCGTGTGATAAACAGAATTGACATAATTGGAATTAAATTAGAAATTGAAATTATATAGTATTGGTTTGAATGAAATTGAATTCTCTAAACCTAATTTATTTTTGTCACTACCAATTCCAAATCTATATATTTTTGTGCTACCAAATCGCAAAATTGAAATTGTTATATCCTATTTTAATTCCATAGTTTGAATTTCGTGTACCAAACAATGCTGAAATATTTTCATTTCCAGTAGACATTGTTCAAGTAAATGTCTACATGCCACTGGACATTATTCCAAATAAATATCCAATGCTACTGGACATTATTCTCGCTACTAGACATTATTCAAGTATTATTTATGCAATAATAAAGTTGTGGGTACTACGTTGAGAAATGTCATAAGGAGAATATTTTAGTACCCCGGAGTATTATTTAGTGCAAAATTTCACTTCAAAAAAAACATAAGTTCTTTGAGTCAAAAGAACCATAATAAAATCGATGATCGTCCGATCACCGATTGCACCTCCCTCCCCGATTACCGATTTGTCCGGGGCTAAATCGATGATCTACGGGGTGGCCGAGTGGGGTAAAGGGTAAGGGGTTTAAAAGGGTTGGAACTATCAATTTTAGCAATAGAGCACCGAAGAAGCCTTAGGTCATTCTAATATCAAAATTCTTTGAGTCAAAAGAACCATAGTAAAATTATCTAGATAAAATAAGTTTATGACATTTGAGGTCCAACATTTAAAAAAGAAGAAACAATGTGAGAAATTATATTATTAGAATAATGTGTGAAAGATTAAAAGTAAATATAATGTGAAATTAAAAATAAGAGGATGAAAGTGGGGTAAAAAGATACAAATGCTCTAAAACGTTACTCCCTCCGTCCGGAAATATTCTTCTCGTGTTGACTTGGCACGCTTATTAAGGAATAGTAAAAAAATGTAAAATTTTCAAAAATGCACATACTATAAATTTTTAAATCTCTTGTTATTATTAAAAAAGTACTAAAAAAGTAGATTAGTGATAAAATAGAAGGGTATTATTAAAATTTATCCTTAAAAAGCATACTAAAAAAGGAAATGGAAAGAATATTTCCGGACGGACCAAAAAGGAAAGTGAAAAGAATATTTTCGAACGGAAGGAGTAATAATGAAATGACCCGTTAGGGGAAAAAATGTGATTTCCTTTTTCGTGTTTCGAATACATTTATGCACATTGAATGCATTAAATGGTGTTTAACGAATGTTAGCCATTAAAAGTATTAAATGAAGCGAACACGTAATGTACATCTTTTTAAGAACAAACAAAGGAAACGCCATTTATTGCACCTCTACAAAACCAAAGTTACGTTGCAGTTGTATGAAAAAGGCGGTACCGAAGTAAAACATACTCCCTCCTTACTCAAAACCTTTCTCTTTTCTTTTTTCATTCGTACCAAAATATATTTTTCATTTCTATTAAAAAGTTACTTTTACCCCTTACTTTTTCATACCCTACCTATCACATCATACCTTTTTACTAATAATCTATTCATCAAATCATACTTTTACCCATCACATCAAAGGACATTTTTGGAAATTCAATACCAAAATACACTCTCCTTAAATTATTCTTCAAAATCAAAACTCCCATGTTTTCTGGGACGGAGGGAGTACTACGTAAAAAGCTTCCACATTTCAAAAGTCTCCAAAAATGGTAGGGTAAATCAAGTTAAGAACTTCATTAAAAATATTTTTTATAGCAATTTCTGTTAAAATGTTATTTAATGTAATTTGACCTCTAAACCCTTGTTATTCTTTCATTTTTGAAAATATATCAAAATTTTGTCTCAACAATTTTCTTCATAGGTTTAATTTTTCTCTTTGATGTGTTTTGGTTTGATTACGTCTCTTCGTAATTATTACTCCCTACCTCTGGAATTAAAACATTTGTTTCAATTTATTCAATTAACAATGTTTGAATTGTTAATTATTACTCTCTACCTCCGGAATTAAGGTTGAATTGAAATTTAAATAAAATCTAAATACTTAAAAACTATATAAAAAATAATTTTGACCTATGAGATAACATGACTATATTATTTTAATAAATAATGATCAAAACTCGATATTTAAAGTTTAGAAAGTTTGACCTGGTAAGAATTTAATCATATAATTCAAAATTTAAATTATGACGTGGGGAAAACATGTGACGTTTTCATTAAAAAAAGTGCATGACAGTAGGTAATTTATGAAATTCAATTCGCACCAAATAGGCATGGCATGGGTGGTTAGACAGTCTGCATGGGTAGTTAAAGAGTCTTTGATGAATTGAACTACGCACCAACTCTCAGAAGAAGAAAAAAAACTACCTGTTGGTGGATTGGTACGAAATCATACATTGTGCATAAAAATTAAAATCGTAATGGGCACTTACTGATTAATATTCAAATTAAACTTCCTAATTTCCTTTTGACTTTTTTAGTTTTTCTACACGAATATATTTTTAAATGATTCTTTGAAATAAGATATTTTTCCATTTAATCTTCAATAAGTTTTACTACCATACCTCTGTTTCTGAGTATTTGTTCAGTTTTAACTTTTTAAAACTTTTTTTGGTCAACTGTTTTAAACCTTTGATCTATAATTAAATAAAATATATGTTTTGTACTAATTAGATAAAATAATATTTTGAAAATATTTGATGTAATAAATTTAATAAAATTATTTTTGTATCAATATCTAATATTCCGTATAATTTTTATTTAATTTGAGGTAGGGTGTATTGTTACGAAATGAAAATACATTCTGCATCAAAGTAGACTCTTTAAGATGTTTTTCTTTTGACATTTTGTAGTTTTTATTGGGCTCGAAGACATTATTTACTTTATTCCATCTCATCAATGATTAATATGGAAAATCTTTATACTTTTTTTTGACTTTTTTAATCTCCATACCAAATTAAAATGAGAAAGAATTTGTTTGATGGAGGGAGTAAATGAGATGAGTGAAGTGTAATATACCCCTTCCGTCCCCTTATGATCTTTTCGTTTTAACTTTTTTTTGATTTTTTAGGAGAGTTGAAAAAATGTGAAAGTTTACCATAATACCCTTAATTAAATTGGATGGAGTGTATTAAATGAGATAGGTGAGGAGTAATGAATAAAGTAAGTGAAAGTGTTTGTGGTATTTTAATTGTTAAAAAAGGTAATAGGAAGATCTATTGGAGTCAAACAAAAAGAGCTATTGAGAAGATCTATGGGAGACGAAAGGGGTATAAAATGAGGAGAGTTTTGATGCTCTGATATTTTAAATTTTAAAAAATAAAAGTAATGAGAAAATTTATGGGAACAAATAAAAAGGTTAATACTCCCTCCGTCCCGCTATATTCGTCCACTTTTGACTTTTGAAACTGTTCATCTAAGCACTTTGACTCATCAAATTCTCTCAATGTGTAAGCCTAAATATAGTCATGTGTGATCTTGTTTGATTTGTCTTAACATATAGATTATTAATATATAATTTCTATAATTTTTTTAATATATAAATTACAAGATAAAATGAATTAAAGAAGTGTATTGGATGGTGTGTAAAAATGAAAGTGGACAAATACTCTGGGACGGAGGGAGTATATGAGAAGATCTACGTCAGGGTTTTCTATAATAGGATGGTTCCGAAACCATTTGCTTGCGGAGCTGCTCTAGGCTCTCGCTACCATTGCCTTTTCGAAACAACTACACTATTCCGTTCTCAAAATTGATGATCTTCCCCTCTAACCCCGACCTGCAACTCCTGCCCTACCCTATGTGGTTATTAAGCATGCAATTTCCCCCTACGTTGAAAAAAAAAAAAAAAGACTCAACAAACATAGTGGCCGGCCTCCTGGGAAGTTAGATTAGGGGCGAAGGGATGATTATATTGAAGAAATGAATGGGGAAAATTAAAAGATGAAATATCAGATATCTTACGATGAGATTGCCTCGGCCGGGGAGGGGGAAGTTCAAAGGGCGGGAGACGACGTAGGTGCCACCTTGGAGGTCCACCCTGGCACCCCCTAGATTCCGGATCCCGGCGAACAGGAACCCCTCACTTGGACCGTCAAGGGCGTCCCTAATTGCTTCCATAATTGCCCCCGTGCTGTCCTCTTCCCCGCTCGGATCCGCCCCGTACGATGTCACCCCGTACACCCTCCCCTGTTTTTCATATCATCGCCACCACCCATTCATTATATTCCATTATTCACACTCCAAAAATTTTTCACATTCTTACCATTCATGAGCCATATATGTGTATTTTATAAATAATTGGGGAGTAAGGATATGTTAAATTGTAACACTCCGTTCTTGAAAACACTCCTTCATTTGACCAAGTAACAAAGTAAGGATATGTTAAATTGTACTCCCTCCGTCCTAAAACTTTCTTCCCACTTCTCCTTTTTCTCCGTCCTAAAACTACCTTCCCATTAGAAAAAAAAGATGACAAATGACATTAATACTCTCAAGTATTTACACCAATTATCTTCTAACTCTATATTTTGAATGATTGCAAAAAAAATTTCAAAAAATCTTTTTTAAGAAAGGTAAAATTTGAAGTCAAAGCCAAAAATTAAAAAAAAGGAAAAATTAAACTGGGAAGAAAGAATTAGGACGGAGGGAGTAATTGACTTCCAATTATGCTCTTGATGAGATGGATTCATTACTATAGAAAACTTATGATGTGATAGATGTGGTAAGAAAAAACAAGAGTAAACATAGCTTTTAATAGAAAGTAAAACTGTTTTGGTAAAAAAGAAAAAAAATAAAAGAGAATTTATTGCTTTAAATTCTAATCGATTTCCAATTATCTCTTTGATGTGATGGATAGATTACTAGAGAAAAGGTACGATGCGATAGATAAAGTCAGAAAAAACAAGGATAAACGTAGTTTTTTTTAAAAAAAAAAAAAGCAGAACTGTTTTGGTGAAAAAGAAAAAAATAAAACAATGGAGTAGTAAACTAACACTTACAGAAGGAGTAGTGGTTGGAGCAGTTGCAAACAATGTGGAGTAATCTGGTGGTGAAGATGAACCGGGTTCAACCCGAGATACAGGGAACTTTTCCAAATTGTTTCTGGTTTGGTCGTCATCGTTATTAGAACACATTCCCGGGACATGGAACTTGCAAACGGTTATTGTGGCCAATAACGTCAAAAGCCCCAAAGACGAGGACGACGGCGTTCTTTTCGCCATTTCTCATGTAAGAAGAAGATGGATTATCCGAGGAATGGAAAAAGTAATTAGAGACAGGGGAAAGTATATTTATTTATTTATTTCGTCGTGAGGAAGAAATGTTTGAGATCTTCTTTCTTCTCATCGTGAGACGTGTATATATGGAGAAGAAACAAGAAAGAGTAAGCGAAACGATTGTGTTTGTGTTGTTGTGTGAAAATGAAGATGCGTAGGGAGAAGGAAGGTATGGAGTATATTAGTACCTCACTTGTCACAAATCCAAGCCTTTACTTCTCAAATTATATTTAGGGTACTCTCCTTCGTTCCTTTTGTATTTGTTCAATTTGACTTCTTTAATAAAATTAAAATTTTAAATTTAAATTAAACAAAAAATACTTCTCTATGAATATTTGTTCGGTTTTCATTTTTGCAGTTAATCCAAATACACATTTAACCTATAGTTAAATAAAATTTACTACGTACATGGTATATATTAATTAAATAAAATAATATATCAAAGATATTTTAAAGGTTCAATCTACTGAAATTAAACTTGTATAAATACATTAGAAATCACCCTAAATAAGACTAAAACATAGAGAAAAATACCAAAATAGGACTTTCATATTTTTTTCCGAAATAGGATTTTGAACTGTGGTAATGTGACTTTGTCCTGTTGTAATGTGGCAGTGTACATGTGTAAATTACTATACTTTTTTGGTAATGTATATGACCATGTATAGTAATCTACGTCCTATTTCGAGAATAAAAACATGGAAGTCCTATTTTGGTATATTTTTAATGTGTTAGTCCCACTTTGGTCTTTCACCCTAAATACATACAATAACCAAAGTATATATTCTATTTAATTAATCGTCAAAATATATTAATTTTGACTTTAAGTTACTCTGTATTCATTAAGAAATATTAAAAAATGGAAGAAAAAAGGGAGAAAGTTGTTGCCCTGTCAGCATGCCCGGAGCCTTTGAGCATATGTACCCCGGAGTAATATTGTTTTTACTTATTTTATGGAGAATTTAATATAGTTTCATAAATAAAAATGCAATTCATGCGCATTGAATTTTAAAAATAAGTTATTCGTGAAGGAAAATATAAATAAATAATGAAGAAAGTGTATGATTTTTTGAAATTTAAAAAAAGAAGAAAAAAGAAAAAAAAGTATTGGTCTAATTGGGAGCCCTTGAGCATGTAATATTTGTTTTTACTTATTTTATAGAGAATTTAATATAGTTTTTTAAATTTAATAAAAATCCAATTCATACAATGAATTTTCAAAATAAGTTATTCATGAAGAAAATATAAATAAAAGATATTGGTCCAATTGGGAGCCCTTAAGGTTTTGATGGGCCTTGGAAGACAATGACATGTTATCTATGGGTTTTCGTTGCTCTAGAAAATTTGATGTAGTTTTACATTAAAACACAATTCATACATTGAGTTTTCAAAATAAGTTAATCATGTAGAAATATAATTTTTAGAAAAATGATGGGTGAATTTTCAAAATAAGTTACTCTGTATTCATTAAGAAATATTAAAAAATGGAAGAAAAAAGGGAGAAAGTTGTTGCCCTGTCGGCATGCCCGGAGCCTTTGAGCATATGTACCCCGGAGTAATATTGTTTTTACTTATTTTATGGAGAATTTAATATAGTTTCATA